TAGCTTGGTAAGTTTGAGTTTGCTTCCTTGCAAATGTTATCACTAGTTATTATTGCTTCTGCTAATTCTCAGCTAACCTGGCATTATTTCTGTATGTGGCATCAGCTTTTCTTCTTTACAGCAGAAATCTGGGCCTTGTTATGAGGCCAAGAGCAGAGAAATTTGGCTCACACTTTCCTCTTCTTTCTTTTCATCTTCATGGTTTTTAGGACTGAACTGAGTAGCTGGAGAAAATGAAAATAAATATAGGAATTTGGGAGCTTAGAGGATTTGTCCCTCTCTGGATGACTTGATCAACATATATTCTTTTGGTGGAAACTTAAAATGGTGAAAATTGAATGGTGCCCCTAAGTGAAAATTCAAGGTTTAGATGATCCAGGGTTTGGTCTTCCTTCTATCTTTACCAGTCAAACTGAAGAGTTGTTCTCTCTCTGCCTCTATATTTTTGGTATACATTTCCATCAACATCATATTGCAGGTATTGGTGGAAACGTATTGACTTTGGTAGCCTTTAAAATCCATCTTCAGAAGAAGCATTTCTGAACACAAAAGCTTAAGCACAAAGGAAAATTTGTGACTTTGAGCAAGCAGGAGATAACAAGAGAGTTGCAATGCACTGAGTGTGATGGTTTATTTAGCTGTTTAATATCATAGTTGGATTAATTGATCTCTAGTTAGATACATCACAGACAAAATGACAAGTATGCAACAACGTTGAAAAAGATAAATATAATTTATTATCATGAAGATCTATGTGAGAGATTTGTGTAAGTTTCACAAATATTCACTTATCAGGACGCTAGATACAATCACTGTCATAAAGTGCTTAGCTGGGACATGAACAATATCTCGTGTTGAGACAGAATGGGTACAGCTGTCTTGGGTGTGCTTTCTTGAGTCTACATATGGAACAATTTTTCTATCTATTCCATGTGACACATTAGCTATGCTGAATTAAAATACTATTACAATCTTAAAAGTATTGAAATGTTGAGAGGGAGCACTGCTTCTACCTTGATTATTATTTTGGTCATTAAGAGATAAAGATCAGTAACTGAAGTTAAACAGTATATTTGTGAGAAGACCATAGATTTATTTGCCACCATATATATCTAACATTCAAATCCTTTCTGAAGTTTGGGTTTCTGAGTATTAGCAGCATCAACAGAGACCTCAGTGTGAGGAGCTCCTCCCAGTGTGGTAAGCAGCTAGATTATACAGTTCCGCCTCAAGCAATGTTAGCTGCTAAGACATCCTCCATGGAAATTGCAGGGTTCCAGGTATGACATCAGGTAAGGTGGCAGCAGTGGTACTGTCTCCATGCCCAGCTGTGATTCCCCAGCTTGTGGTGGCACAGGGTGAGACTTCTCAGTGCACAGTACACTCCACAGCCGGGCACAAGAGCTCAGACACATCTTGGAGCAGATTTCCCAGCCAACACAGCTGCTCCAGTCTGCCCACAGCCAGCAGAGACTCTCCACTGTTGTTCTGGTGGTGTTGTGTTCTGTGCAGCTCTCACGTCTCTCGTATCTCAAGCCAGGGAGTTAAATGTAGCAACAAAGTGGACAAGCATTTCCCTTCCTCCAACAGGCCTAATATTTAGAGTACTGGGCCTTGTCTTTCCTGCTGCATTCAATGGCACAATACTTGTAGTGTGTCCTTTGCAGCTCTGTCCTCATTATTCAACATATCCCAGTTGAGCCCACTCATGCAGGTTGATTTCAAGTCTGGACCAAATATTGAATCACATGTTGAAATCACAGTCAGTTTCTTGGCTTCTGGTCTGGAAATTATAGGATGAGGCACTTTCCTCTCCAAAAATGTCAGAACAAATGAGCAGACTGTGTGTTGCATGTTGCTTATCATGTACTGCATGCATGCCTGGGAGCTCTACTTGTGTGGCTTTGGAAGCAAAGACGGAAAAAAATCAGTGGAAAAAGGCAAGATTACTGCTTCCCTGACTGAAAGGTAAAAAAAACCCCACTTCCACCAGTGCCAAAACCATCTGGATATATTGAGAAAATATAAAGAAAACGGTAATGGCTCTTCTCTGTGGTTGGCACCAGAAAGATGTGCAATAAAAAGGGTTGCATTATTCTAACATGACTTGGTTTGGAAGTACTTAATCTGATAAGAACTTTTCTTAACACAAGACAGCAGCTGCTAACAGCAGAGCCATCTCTTGAGAAGCTTCTACATGAAAATTAAAATTGCATATCACACAGACTTACATCAATAAGACAGAGAGAAGACAGAAACAGACAGAAAACAGAAAACTATTTGTAAATAGTCTGATGTTGCTGAGATAATTTATCATTTTTAGGGATCTCACTATCTCCTATTTAGAACAAATAAAAAAGAAAAAAGGGGAATAAGCGAAACAAGCAGACAGAGAAAGAAAAAAAGAACTTGTCAGACTAAGTGCACAATTAAGAGCTCTGATACTGCAGATGATAGGCATGAAAGAAGTTACCAAAAGTGTAATTTTGTAAAAATTAAAAGCTTGCTTTTAATTTGTGGGAAATGCCAAAAAACCTACTTAACATGTTAAACCACCCCTGTACACAAAACAAACAAGCTAACAAACAAACAAACCTCCAAAAAACAAATCCCTTCCCTCCAAAAAGAACAAAAAAACAACCAAACAAAAAACAACAACCAAAGATTGAATGCATCACATCCTTTTCTAAGGGTTTGAATTACCAGTAAAGTAAGAAGAGTTTACAGGTACTGAGGAATTGTGTCCAGGAAAAATGGGTTCTACCAATTACCTTAAAAACTTTTGTGAAACTCAGTTGAATATGAACTGAATGAATGGTTAAAAATACACTGTGGAATATTTTGAGGCTTTTCTAAACAATGGAAAAAATAATAGGTTTTTTGTAATGAGGTTAATGATATGCCTTCATGACCATGAGTGCTTTACAAGGGTGGGAGTGCCTCCAGTTGGAGGAGATGTTAAAGATGTCTAGGAGAATAGAGAATATTTCAATGATATAGAAGGCATTGATGAAAAATCATCAAATGAATCATGAGAAAAATTTCCTTTCACCTGTGTTAGGAATTAAAAGGGAACCATTCTTACTACCTACTGGGGGGCATTTTTTAAGAAATAGATTCCACATATTCTTCACTGCTTGGTGTCTCATCAAAATTATGATTTGTGTCTCTGACGGAAAAGAGCTCACATTCCTTAAATTGTTTTTCAAGATACAGTTTGTCAAATATCTTGCTGCTGAGGTGGGTACCAAAAAAATCCCATCCCATTTCTGTGGTTAGAAATGGGGATCCTGAGCTTTGGCTTCTCTAGGGCTCTTTATTGCTTCCCACCTACCCCACTCCAGTCATGCCATCCAGGCTGGTTTATCTGGATTATTGCCATTGAGCCCTTCTTTAAGGCTGGTAAAGGTGGATAATGCAAATATGGTGATTTGAAGACTTTCCCAAAGCAGAGCAGTCAGCTTTTACACAGGCTGTCTCAGACAGTTTTCATGGCTGGTTCAGGGTGAATGAAATTTGGTGGTGCCCAGAACTGTCTTTGTCACTGTGCTGACTCTGGAAGCAGTGTCAGCTGCCTGTATTTGATTTAATTAAAATTAGAGGACCATATGTGGAACCAATCCATCAATTCTGTGGCCTGATACATTGACTGGCTGTTGGGGGTTGAATGCTTCGCTTTTGTTTCTGTGGAATTTCTCCCATTGTTATGCTAAGTAATTGTGGCTACACCTTAAAACGACAGATAATGTTCTCTCGTAGGGGGGTGGCTGGAGGGGGAGCGGGGGGGAACCGGAAAAGGAAAGGTGGGATGGGGGGTCTGGAGCGGGGCTCTCTCTCGCTTGGCTCCTGGAGTGGGAAGACAACCTGGGCTCTGCTCTGGCATCTTCCCCTGCCATCCCAGCACTGAGATCCACGCTCCCTGCCTTTGGACATCGCTCTGCTGCTCTCCTAGCTCACCCTACTACCTCCGGACACTCTGCTGAGCACCACGACCGACACCGTGAGGGGGGAGTAACTTTCCCCATCCCCTCTCTCCCCTGGGCCGCGGCCGCCATCACCCAGCCCTCTTCAACTGCGCGGGACCTGCCCTGCCCCCACAGCACCGGTAACAGCACAGGGAGACGGCCTGCGGCCAGAAGGGACTGGAGCGGAGCTAGACTGTTTCTGTCGCCAATTTTTATAGCTGTTGTTGTTTTTCTGCTTTGTTAGATACCAGTAAAGAACTGTTATTCCTATCCCCATATCTCCTGCCTGAAGGTGTCTGAATTGGACCTAAAATAATTAAAAGGGAGGGAGGTTGCACTCTGCATCGCAGAAAAGGGGCTCTTGCCTTTCCTTAGACCATACCTGTCTTTCAAACCAAGACAGCTTTTGGCGCCCAACGTGGGGCATTGCCTGAGGGCATTGAGAGAGGGGTAGAAAAGGGGAACAAGGGATCCAAAAGCTGAGAGAAGTGGCAGTACTGGAGGTGCTCTTTGGGAGGGATGGACAGCATGACAATGACCCTGACAAGGTCAGGTGCACAGGGCAGATGTTGTGGAATCTGGCAAACCTGGGCCCATCTCAATATACCCCCTTTATTGCAATGATTGATGCTGATACCAACCAAGTGACAGTGGGTTCTGTTGCCAACAGGCTCAGGAATTATCAGAGTATGATGGCTGGCCCAGTGCAGGCTCATGTCTCTGCTGTGGCTAAGGACCTCAGAGAGGAGTTTAAGGAGGAGATGAAGGAGATAAGGGAAGAGGTGAGGAAGATCAGTGCAGCACCAGTGCGAGTCATGGACCCCAAAAGTAGAGCCCAACGCCCCCCAGCTAGGGAGAGAGGGTACACCCCATGTGCTGACCTGTGGTTTTTTCTATGTGACCACGGGGAAGACATGAGAAGGTGGGATGGGAAACCCACTTCTGTCCTGGCAGCACGGGTGCGCCAACTCAGGGAGGGGAACACCAACAGAGGGAACTCCACTAAAGTGAAGGTAGTCTCAGTCAATTGCCACCTCGACAGTGCACCGCTGGCAGTACCAGATGAATCGAGATGCCGTGATCCTCATCCACAATATGATCCGTGAGCTGGAGAGCCAAGGGGTGGTCAGCAAAACCCACTCACCCTTCAACAGCCCCATCTGGCCTGTGCGTAAATCGGAAGGAGAATGGAGATTGACTGTGGACTATCGTGCATTGAATGAGGTGACTCCACCACTGAGCGCTGCCGTGCCGGACATGCTGGAACTGCAGTACGAGCTGGAGTCCAAGGCAGCAAAGTGGTATGCCACCATCGCCAATGCATTTTTCTCCATGCCTCTGGCAGTAGAGTGCAGGCCTCAGTTCGCTTTCACACGGAGGGGTGTGCAGTACACATGGAACCGACTGCCCCAGGGGTGGAAACACATTCTCACCATCTGTCATGGACTGATCCAGGCTACACTGGAGAAGGGTGGAGCTCCAGAATATCTGCAGTACATTGATGACATCATTGTGTGGGGGGACATGGCAATGGAGGCATTTCAAAAAGGAGAAAAGATTATTCAAATTCTGCTGGGAGCTGGCTTTGCCATTAAAAAGAACAAAGTCAAAGGGCCTGCCTGAGAGATCCAGTTCCTGGGAGTAAAGTGACAAGAGGGATGGCGCCAGATTCCCAGTGAGGTCATCAAGAAGATTACTGCAATGTCTCCACCAACCAGCAAGAAGGAAACACAAGCTTTCCTAGGTGCCATAGGCTTTTGGAGAATGCACATTCCTGAGTACAGCCAGATTGTGAGCCCTCTTTACCTGGTCACCCGCAAGAAGAACGATTTCCACTGGGGCCCTGAGCAGCAGCAAGCCTTNTGGCAGAAGGTGCCTGGTGAGACTCGAGGCCGACCACTGGGATTCTGGAGCCGAAGTTACAGAGGGTCCGAGGCCAACTACACTCCAACAGAGAAGGAGATCTTGGCCGCCTATGAAGGAGTTCAAGCTGCCTCAGAGGTGGTTGGCACGGAAAAACAACTCCTCCTGGCACCCCGACTGCCAGTGCTGGGGTGGATGTTTAAAGGAAAGGTTCCCTCAACCCACCATGCCACTGACGCCACATGGAGCAAGTGGATTGCCCTCATCACGCAATGCGCCCGTATTGGAAACCCGAATCGCCCTGGGATTTTGGAGATAATTACCAACTGGCTGGAAGGTGAAAACTTTGGTCTTGCTGACGAAGAGGAACAGGAACAAGCGACCCGGGCCAAAGAAGCTCCACCATATAACCAACTGTCAGCAGATGAAACACGCTATGCTCTTTTCACTGATGGTTCCTGCCGCATTGCAGGGATGAACTGGAAGTGGAAAGCAGCCGTATGGAGCCCCACACAACAGGTTGCACAAGCTACCAAAGGAGAAGGTGGATCAAGTCAACTTGCTGAACTCAAAGCTGTTCAGATGGCCCTGGACATTGCTGAAAGAGAGAAGTGGCCAGAGCTCTACCTTTACACTGACTCATGGATGGTAGCCAATGCTCTGTGGGGATGGCTGGAAAGGTGGAAAAAGGCTGGCTGGCAACGTAGGGGAAAACCAATCTGGGCTGCCAATGAGTGGAAAGACATTGCCACTCGAGTAGAGAAACTGCCTGTAAAAGTCCATCACATAGATGCCCATGTCCCCAAGAGTCAGGCTAATGAGGAGCACTGACACAATGAGCAGGTAGATCAGGGGGCACAGATAGAGGTGTCAAAGATAGATTTAGATTGGGAGCACAAGGGAGAGTTGTTCCTGGCTCGATGGGCCCATGATGCCTCAGGCCACCAGGGTAGAGATGCCACATATAAGTGGGCATGAGGGGTAAATCTAACCATGGACAGTATTTCTCAAGTTATCCATGACTGTGAGACATGCGCTGCCATCAAGCAAGCCAAGCGGGTGAAGCCCCTCTGGTATGGGGGATGATGGTCCAAATATAAGTATGGAGAGGCCTGGCAGATTGACTACATCACACTGCCTCAAACCCGCCAGGGCAAGCGCTATGTACTGACCATGGTGGAAGCCACCACTGGATGGTTGGAGACCTACCCTGTGCCTCATGCCACTGCTCGGAACACCATCCTGGGCCTGGAAAAACAAGTTCTTTGGAGGCATGGTACCCCTGAGAGAATTGAGTCAGACAGTGGGACTCATTTCAAGAACAGCCTTATAAACACCTGGGCTAGAGAACACGGCATTGAGCGGGTGTACCATATCCCCTACCACGCACCCACTGCAGGGAAAGTTGAACGGTGCAATGGCCTGCTTAAAACCACCTTGAAGGCACTGGGTGGGGGAACTTTCAAGAACTGGGAGATTCATCTACCAAAGGCCACCTGGTTAGTGAACACCCGAGGTTCCACTAACTGAGCCAGCCCTGCCCAATCTGAGCCCTTGGGAATACCAGATGGAGATAAGGTTCCAGTGGTACAAACGAGAGGTATGCTAGGAAAAACTGTTTGGGTGAATCCTGCCTCCAGCAAAGACAATCCCATCCGGGGTGTTGTATTCGCTCAGGGACCAGGTTACACCTATTGGGTGATGCAAAAGAATGGAGAGACCCGATGCATACCCCAAGGAGAACTTGTTTTAGGGTGAAATGCCTAGGGTACTGTGCCTGTATCTGTAACTGCATGTATGTATATAATGTAACAGGTTTAATTTGATATAGCATATTAGTATGGAAATATTCAGGGGTGGATAATGTTTGGGGTTGAATTGTTCCCTTTTCTTTCTGTGGAATTTTTCCCATTTTTATGCTAAGTATTTGTGGCTACACCTTAATAGCAATAGTTTTCTCTTGCAGGAGGGTGGGGGATAGGGGGACGTCGGAAAGGAAAAGGTGGGACAGGGGCCTGGGCGTCTCTCTTCCTATTGCTTGGTTCATGGAGTGAGAGGAGGACAGCCCGTGCTCTGATCTAGCATCTTCCCCACCATCCCAGCACTGAGAGCCACATTCCCTGTCTCCGAACACCGCTCTGCTGCCTTCTCACCTCATTCTTCTGCCTCTGGACACTGTGCCGAGCACCATGACCAACCATGAAGGGGGAGTTGCTACTCCATCCCTCTCACCCCTGGGCCGCTGCCACCATCACTCCAGCCCTCTTTGACTGCGCGGGACCTGCCCTGCCCACAGCACCGGTAACTGAGTGCAGGGGGAGGGAGCCTGTGGCCAGAAAGGGACTGGAACTGAGCTCTACTGTTCTGTTTTCTTGTCAATTTTTATAGCTGTCGTTGTTTCCGCTGTTTTGCCTTGTTAGAAAGAACTGTTATTCCTATCCCCATATCTTCTGCCTGAAAGCCTCTGATTTCAAACTATAATAATTAGAAGGGAGGGGGTTGCACTCTGCATCTCAGGAAAGGGGTTCTCGCCTTTCCTTAGCAAATACTTGTCTTTCAAACCGAGACAGGTGACTAATTAATTTCCAGGCTCCTCTGATCTCATGGCTGTCATTTAAACTTTAGGGTGCTGCTGTCACCAACAATCAGATCAGACAATCATCCATGGCACCACTCAGTTAGCTCTGGTCTTATCCTCAGCAGAGGGGAGGAAAAGAAACGACTGAGAGACAGAGGCATCTGAGGGCCACTGAAGTATTTCTTTGCTATATAGGGACCCTTAGCTGTCCCATCAGCTCTCGTTAAGACAGTCACTCTGCATGTGGTATGCTTGGTAGGCATGCGTTAAGGCTCTGCTCTTGCTTAAAATGAGAATTGCAGTTGCAAAAGGGTAAGGAAAGTGGGGGGTGGCTGCTGCACTCTCCCGACCTAAGAAGCCATGAGGACATGGGTCTCCTTGTTTTTGGCCTTTTCCTCTTATCAGTCCCTCAGAGCAGGCTCTGTGGCTAATATTTGCTCTTCTGTGTCTAAAATAACTGTAGGTTAAGTCTTGGGTGTTGCTCCAGATTTTTAGCATTTCCCATGGCTGAAATCTATAGCTCCAAATGAATCCTGACATATGCACACCCAGATGCATCCTTTGCTGGCATCACACCATGCCATTTTCTCAGCCCTCTCATTCTCAAAATCCTTTCTTGTGCTTCCAATAGCTCAAATACAAGTAGTGGACATTCAGGTCAGGTTTGGGCAAGGTAAATGAAGATGTTAGGGCATGGTATTAGGGTATGAAGTTCAATTGACTGTATTGGTAGGCTCATGCAGTTTTTATGATCTCACCCTAGATATCTACCTAGAAAGCCTTTGGAGGGGGTGGAAGCTGAGGCCAGAGAAGCATCCTAATCCATTTGTGGGATTTGGAAACCACAGCTTTAAGCCAGTTTATAGTGATTTGTACCCTTAATGTGGTGATGTGGTGATCCTTCTCTTCATTGTGTGGATAGGGCAAAGCACTTTTCATATGCTCTTATAGTTCAGTGGCAGCTCAGGTCACCTGGCAAGCACCATGATTAACAAAACACCAAGAAACTCAGAGGAATGTGATCCTCCTGACGGGGATGGGAAAGATGTGACATTCTCTTATTTTCTGGCTTTTTTTGCTTTTGGGGTTGATTTTTATTTAGAGCTGTGACATACCATAGCCTACATGGGGGGTGGCATGGCACAGGTGAGAAATAAGAGTGACCAATGGCTTTCCTTTTATTTGGAGGTGTGAAATATGCTGGGAGATGCTGCAAATCTTATTAAGGCTCTTATTATTGTACTACCTAATGACTGGTGCATATTTAAAATATTATTTCATTTTACAGAGACATTCAAATGCTTAAGAGCAGCTGATAGGTTTGGACATGCAGCTGGCAGTTAATTCCACTGTCTCCAAAAATCAGGTTACTTCAAAATTTTTTAGGGTTTGTACAGTTAAACCCTAGTGTTTTTTTAAAATATCAGCTATTTTTTACCAGTTAGGTATTGTGGTTCCTGCACTTCAAAACGATGATTTTTATTCCTCAGAAAAAGTACTAGCAATTAACTTAAAGTATATTTTTTTTCTGGTGAAAGGAACCCACATTAGATGTGACAGCCAGGTGGACAGAAAAACACATAAACTCAGGGCCAGAAAAAGATATAGTTAGAGGTCCAAGAGGAAGCAAAAATATGTAGTAGAGTTCACAGTGTTCATTGAGGCTGGAAAGTAGTATGTCAGAGCTGCACACACATGGCAGAGTCAAGGCACTGAGGATAAACACCACTGTGGTGTATTTCATTTGTCAGACGCTGCGATTGCAAGCTTGATCTCAATGTTATGAAAGAGTGTTATGGACGGATTGTTCCCCATATAAAATATAAATGTTTTCTTTTTCTTTTTTTTACAGATAAACAAAGCCATAGCTTAAGATGTGTTATTCCCAATTAAGACTTTTCATATACTACATGTCTAAGTTACCCTATGTGTAAAGGCTATGGTTGTGCATGAGGAATGACAGAGGAAGCCATCATGCTCACACATAGTAATATAGCATTATTTTATTTCTGCTGTAATGTCTTTTCTAAACATCACAAAATACAACCAGTGGTTAATGTGGTACACAAGACAGGGGAATAACAAAGAACTTCTTCCCTGAAAAAAACTAATTTTCTTTTTTCTCAGTGGCAATGCCATTCACCCAGAAGGGGGAGATCTCAGCCTGCATGCTGCAGCAGTC